ACTCAGGAGGCTGAGATCTGAGGATCACAGTTTAAAGCCAGCCTGAGCAGGAAAATCCCTGAGACTCTAATCTCCAATAAACCACGAGAAAACCAGAAGTGATGCTGTGGCTCAAGTGGTAGAGCATTAGCCTTGAGCTGAAGAGCTGAGGGACAGTGCCCAGGCCCAGAGTTCAAGCCCTATGAAAAAACAAGCAAACAAACTAGCAATGCTCAATTGAAACATATTGAACTTTAAAAATATGTGTTTCTTTAGGTGAAATGTCAACATTTAGCTTCATTACGAGAAAAACAAGTGAAGAACCAGCTAGATTTGGAAAGAAAAGGTATACTGAATTTAGATTTCCTATTTACATGGCTTTCCTGCTTCTTCCCTGTGGTGGTCTTTTACTTGTGGAAAGAGAGGGGATTTTAGAAGAAAAGGTTTAACCTTGAACTCTTTCTTTTCTTTTTGAACAGGCATCAGCTTACCCCAAGATGACCAGGAGAGAAAAATTCTGGATTCCGATTAGGCCTAGGAGACCTGCAGCTGGGTTCCTGAAGAATTAAAGCCAAGCAAAACAAAACGACACTCTCCCAGAATGCTTCCTGCTCGTCTTTTTTATGCATTGCTTACTGGTTTTCTGGGTAATTGATCTCAGTTCAGGCAGCAGATGAGACAGTGGAGGGGGAAGAAGAAAAGAAGAAAGGCGAGAAACAGTGGGCAGAGGGACAACAGAATCTGGATTGGTGGATAAGGGACATGTAAGCGCAAAAGGGGGAGGAGGGTCACTGGTTTTCAGAAGGGAATTGGGGAGGAAACCTGGAGGAATTGGGGAGATGCAATTTCCCTGAGGGAAAACAGTACACTCAACTTTCTGCCTGGGCTTTGGGAAAATCCTTTACTTGGCCTGCTTAAGGAAGATACGCCCCACCCAAATGGAGAGGTAGGACGGGGGAAGGTTCTTAAGTTTGTTAAGTTCAACTCCAGCTTACTTAAGGCTTTCCCAGGCAGGGGCTGGTGTCTCCAGAAAGGAAAGCGGAGCCCCAGCCCAGATCGCACCTGTCTTCCAAAAGAGGAGGCACAGGAGCTGAGTCTTCCTAAGCTGGATAGGGCTGTGCGGCTTGAGAGTTCAAGTTCAAGGCACAGCCTCTTCTTCGCAGGGGCGGGCGCAGGGCCATGCTTACAGGGCTGCTCATCCCCCCAGCCCCTAGCCAAGGCCCCTTCCTGGACACTCCACATGCGGTTCCTGCGCCCACTCACCAACTGAGCTGACAGCTTGGGGCTGGGGTCCCAATGGGGATGCTCGGGTGGTGGCGGCGTCACAAAGGTGGTCCGGTGCAAGGCTTTTATCTGGGCGAGAAAGCCGGACTCAGACTCGGTGCTTGCAGAGTTGGCTTCGGAGCAACAGCGCGGGCGGAACAAGCAGCTCGCGGTCCCTGCGGCCCAATCAGGGCGCAGCAAGCGGGTAACTGGCGAGCGTGGAAAGCCGGGCGCGTGGTGCTCTGGGCGCAGGCCGGGATGGTAGTGGGGCGCTGCAAGTGCCTCTTGGAGCTGCTTGTCCTCCTCCTGAAGCGTCTGGCGTGGCGGGAGGTTCTCCCATTCGTGGTGATGCGCAGCCCTGAGCTTTCCTTCCCAGATTGGCAACACCTTTGTTTCTCCATTTGTGAAACGCAGAGATGGTGCAGAAGTCCTGTGTGGAAGCCCACTAAGGACAGTTCCCAAGGAGAGAGCATTTCCCCATGCCAGGCAACCCCTCACCAGCTCCCAACACTAGACTTGTTTGTGTGCCAGTACTGGGGCTGGAACTCAGGGCCCGAGCACTCACTGTTCCTTAGCTTTGTCACTCAAGGCTGGTGTGCTACCACTAGAGTCACATCTCCACTTTTAGCATTCTGATGGGTAATCGGAAATAGGAGTCTTATGGAGTTTCCTACCTGGGCTGGCTTCAAACTATGATCTTCAGATCTCAGCTTCCTGAACAGCTAGGATTACAGGTGTGAATCGCCAGTGTCTGGCTCAGATACTACCCCTTTACAGAGGGAGAGACTGCAGCACAAAGAAATGAATTAACTTGATGAATGTCACACGGTAGCAAGTGACAGGTCTGAACCCAACCCTCCAAGCTACCCTGTTCCTCACTTGTCATAAGAAGCAGGTGCTCATCTCCTTCATTATATATGATGTGGAGGCTCCTTGTTAAACTCTAGCCCACCAAACATATCCATTCTTCCAACCCCATCCCTGCTTCTTAAATGTCTAATGACTCTTCCTGCCTGTAACTTTCTCAGGGCTGTCATTTAACTCTTGGCCATACTGGGGATGAAATTCAAAGCAAGCTTTTCTTTTTTTTTTTTAAATTAGTTTTCCTAGAGCACTTTCTATGAGTCCTTGATTCATGCTGCATGGCCCTCACCCTTGGGAGGTTTACAAGTAATTGGAGAGACATCCCAATTTTTTCATTTGTTAAATTCAATTTGCAGCTCAGCATCTCCTAGATGGTCTGGAGGCTGAGATCCTGAGGATCAAGGTTGGAAGCCAGCCAAGGCAGACAAAACCAAGGGACAGTTGTTGTTGTTGTTCAGGTACAGGGACTTGAACTCAAAGCCCTGAAATCCTGCTTAGCTTTTTTCATTACAAGCTTGGCACTCTACCACATGAGCCATACCTCCACTTCTGGTTTTTACTGGTTAATTGGAAATAAAGAATGCCACAGACTTTTCTGCCTTGGCCTAAGAGATTCCTATCCCTAATCAATCAACAAAATGCTGGAAGTGGTATGGCTTACATGGTAGAGCACCAGTCTTGAGGGGGACAAAAAGCTAAGCAAGAGTGTGAGTTCAAGCTCTAGTACCAATACCTAAATTAATGAATGAATTAGTGAATTAATTTTAAAAATTTGCAAATTCAAGACATCCAAGTAGTATCTACTTCTCTAAATATTGCGCACACCTCATGCATTCACAATTCTGTGACTTTGCCCAGAATTTTTGTTTCCTCTGCCTGGAATAGATTAGTTTTTCCTCTACCACCACCAGACCAACATGGCACACTTACCCTACAAAACAACCAGCTTTCACCTCTTCTGAGAAGCCCATTCTCCTTCCTCACTCCCACAGAATTAGCCACATCTACTGTGCTACCCTAGTCCTGGAGGGTAGCTGGATTTGTGTTCCTAGGTTGACTGAAGTCCTTCCATGGGGGGCTATGTTCTGAGTCTCTCTTTAGACTCCCTGCAGTGTGCACAAGCCAAACCCAGTGTACCCAGGATGGCAGAAGTTCACTGATTTGAGTTTCATCTGTTTGCCATGTAATGGCTCTTCTTTTTCACTCTCTACAGAAAACAGGTGATTGCTTTTCTCTGCTCACTCTTGGAAGCCCTGCTCCCACGCAGCAACACCGTCCCTCCCAGTTCTCTGATGGATGAAGAAGGCGACCTGATCCAGCCTCAAGACCAGAGCTGCTGGGCTTCCCTGCCCGACGTGTGCCTTCGTCGCGTTTTCTGGTGGCTGGGAGACAGGGACAGGTCCAGGGCGGCCCTGGTCTGCAGGAAATGGAACCAGATGATGTACTCGGCTGACCTCTGGCGCTACCGGACCATCACCTTCAGTGGAAGACCATCCAGGGCACATGCGTCGGAATTCGAGTCCGCCCTGTGGTATGTGAAGAAATTTGGTCGTTACCTGGAACATCTGGAGATCAAGTTTCTGAATCCGTACAATGCCGTCTTGACCAAGAAGTTCCAGATCACCATGCGAGGTCTGCTCGCATGCCTGGGCAAGAGTAACAGCCGTCTGAAGTCTCTCTCCATCCAGCACCTGGAGATGGACCGTCTGGTCTGGAGGAACAGTATCAGGAACTCGCTCATCAAGAGCTTGAGTTTCTTCCTCAAGAAGATGGGCAAACACCTGGATCAGCTCAGCCTGAAAGGGGCCAGGTTGACGGTGGAGCAAGGCTGCAACATCCTCAACTCCCTGAGCTACCTGAAGAATGTGAGCCTGGCCTCGGAGCTTAACATCGAAGATTTCTTCAGCCACCATCTAGCTGTCTACAGCAGCCCCCAGTTTCACAAGACCATGAACACATTCTGCAACCTTACATCCCTGACACTCAACTACAACTGTATCTCTGATGAGCTGCTGGAGAGCTTGGGCGAGAACAATGCCAGCACCCTTGGGACCATGAACATCAAATGCCACATTCACGACCCCCATGGGCAGGTGGTCTGGGGTATGTCCTGGGCCAAGCTGGCTAAGCAGGCCAACAACCTGAAGGTGAACTTCTTCTTTGAACGGGTCATGAAATACGAGCGTTTGGTTCGGATCCTCCTGCAAGAGATTCCCGTGAGGAGTGTCAGCCTCCGAAGCTGCTATTTTAGTGATCCAGACTGGTCCATGCGGCCCACTCTCACCGACCTCCTGCCCACCTTCCGGTACACTCTGCAGGTAAGAAGGAAATGAGAACTGGATGCTGGTGGGGAGTGATTGCCACTAGGATGAGCAGATTTCTAGAGGAAAGCCAGCTGCCACCTGCTCCTTGATGCCTCCCTCCCCCCAATCCCACACCAAAGTCCTAGGAAGTGATGCTAAAAGCACCCTCCCCAATGCACCAAAGGCCATGGCAGGTAAACACCTGCTTCCTTCCTATATGTGCAGTGCAGGCATTGTCTTGTAGTGGCTGTCAACCAAAGAAGAGACTTCTATTCTAATTAGCTCAGAGCTGCGAAGCCTGAGCCAGGAGATGCTTTGCAGGTAAGCAGCCTCTTTCCACCTTTCTACCAGGTTGGAGCCACACACAGGAGACCCTTTGTATGCTAAGTAGGAGGGCCTATTCCACCCACTTACTACAGGGCCTGGTAATGGGAAAGAGGAGAATGGAAAGAACCAACCAGGTAAAAATCCAAGTTTGACTTAAGCCACTGAAGAGTTTGGAGGTTCTGGGCCTGTTCTTTACTGGGGCAGCTTCTCCACCTATAAACCCAGGATTTTTGTCCTTTCTAAGATTCTCAAACAGCTCTAACAGGCACAAATAGCACTGCTCACACCAGGGTGCTCATAAGCCTGAGGTGTGCAGGGCAGCCGTGGTTGAGGATCCTTTGTGCTGCAGAAGAACTGAAGTTTGGTCATCTGTCCACAACCACCAAGCAGTCCACTTCAGGAGGGCTGAGGCCAGCACCCTGGTCTTTGGTCTCCTAATACATCGCCTTCAAATTCTAGGCTTTTGTTTTGTTTTGTTTTGTTCATGTACCAGTTACCTGTGGTAACTGTGCTAGTATTTCTATTTCTTGTCTTGAGTCGAAATCAAAGACTTAAACTGAGAGGCAAGAAGTGCATTTTCAAAGAAGAGTTTTCAAAGATTGAGAACTCAAAGGTGCTGGTAGCTCATGCCTGTCATCCTAACTGCTTAGGGATCTGAGATCTGAGAATACTGATTCAAAGCCAGCCTAGGCAGACAAATCTGAGAGACTTTTTAATTAACCAGCAAAAACACAGGAGTAGAGGTGTGGCTCAAGTGGTAGAGAGCCATCCTTGAGCAAAAAAGCTAAGCAAATGAATGAGGTCCTGAGTTCAAGCCTTATATACACATGCACGCGTACATGTGTGTATATACACACACATACATACCTTAAGACCCCTTTTATTCTCTATGGAGGATTTTTTGGAGTATTTTGGAGTATTGAGAGTATTTAAGCAAATTAGAGTTTGACCAACAAGTCTAGATTAACTCAAGCCATTACTATGCATCTGCTTCATGTTTATACCTGGATTTTTAATCAGGTACATGAGATGCAACTAATATTCATGAGCTACTAAATAGAAAAAAATCCCTTACTGGGCACTTGGAGGTCATGGAAAAACTGCACATGCTTTGGGAACTAGTTAGAATTGCAAAAAAGAACTGGGGTGACAATCCATACAAAGGATGTTTCGAAGCATTTCTGGGTCATTTGGGATGATTCCATTCACATCTATTTTATGTATTCCCACTCTCTGCTCACCTCTGCCTTGTGTGTCCAGTTCCCTGTATCAGTATTGGGGTTAAACTCACACTTGCCTGACAAATGCTCTACCACTTGAGCCACATGCTTCCAGCCTTTAAATTCTGGGGTTTGCAAACCTGCATGTCTACTTGTGAGGTCATTCTCAATTTTCTTCCTCTAAGATCTAAATCTCTAGTACCTTGTCTAAAAAGCTACCAAGTCATCATAGCTATCTGACCCAAAGCCAGGTCACGGAGATGTCGTGAAATGACCCAGCCAGCCTCAGCTCCTCTGTCCACACATGCCTCCCCTCTTGGTGTTTTCCAGAAATTAACTTTTGAGTTCAACAATAACCACGAGTCACTCGATGAGGAGCTACACCTCCTCATCCTGTCCTGCAGGAAGCTTTTCTACTTCAAAATCTGGGCTTTCCTGGATGTTAGGTTTGTGGAGCGGATCCTGAAAAGCCAGGAGGAGGGGCAATGTGCCCTGCGCACACTTAAGGTAAGGGCTTCTAGGACAGAGAGCTTTGACTCAAAGAGGTAAGTCAGAGATGAGGGGGGAAGTGGGGACAGCCATTGGCAACCGATGCCCACTGAGGGTAAATGACTTGAAGTCTTCTTTTCAGTACCACTGGGCCAAAGGTTCTGTATCCGTGGATTCAACTAATTGCTGATTGAAATAGCTGGGGAAGCCAGGTGCCGGTAGCTGTAATCCCAGCTACTCAGGAGGCTGAGATCTGAGGATCATGGTTCAAAAGCAAGGAAAGTCCGTGAGACTCTTATTTCCAATAAACCACTAGAAAACTGGAAGTGGCACTGTGGCTCAAGCGATAGAGCACTCGCCTTGAGCTGAAGAGCTGAGGGATAGCACCTAGGCCCAGAGTTCAAGCCCCACAACCGACCAAAAAAAAAATGAAATAGCTGAGGAGCTCGGCGCCAGTGGCTCACACCTGTAATCCCAGCAACTCAGGAGGCTGAGATCTGAGGAT